TTTATTTTATTGTTCTTTTATTTTTATTGAGGTAAATTCAAGACTGGGAAAATGTCATGGTAATATTTATTACGTAAAATAATAATTCATATTATTTAATTATCTCATACTGAATATATTTTTTCTTAAAAATAATTTCAAATTTAATACGGAAATAGAATCTTTTATTTTAATATTTCATATTTTATAAACCAGTATATATTTCTTAAAATAAACTCTAAACTCTCCAAATACTAAAATAAACAATTGAAAAAATATATAAAAAGATTTTTGATTTTTTATATTTGATATAAAATGTCCTGAAAATAAAACTAACAATAACTTATTAAGTTCTATGAAAAAATTAAAAAATCTGCAAAAATGCATTGTATGTTTATAAATTTTCTCCTAGAAAAATAAATTCAGACATAAAAATACTCAACGAGTGTCTTACAAAGGTTTTTAACCTAAGTAAACCAAATGAAAGAGGATAAAAATATTGAACTGACCAAAGTTTACCTGACAAAATGTTTGAAACTTTGTGAACTTTTGAAATCAGAAAAAAAGTTTCTAGCTAAAAAACGAATGATTATTAACAATAATAAAGGATAGACAATTTTTTTTAAATATGTAACCAATCAATGATGAAACAATTTAATGGAACCTGGGTCCGGTCATTGGGTTTTGTGGTGCATTATACTGCACGAGTAGGACCGGCGGATAACGTCCAGGTACCACACGTTGTGGTTCCGTGGGGTTATTATTGTTGAAGTCAGAATACTGAGGCCTCTGCGGTCGGTACGGCGAGCCACGAGGACGCTTCGGACGCTGAGGACGGGACAGGCAAGGCCCGCGTGGCAGAAAGACTTGGCCACCCACAGGACCCGGTTGTGATCCCTGAAAAAGTACACTACTAAATCAAACAGTAAGTTTATATTACATTGTTTCAATGATAATTTTCAAGCATAACAACAAAACTTTAAGTTATTATAACATTTGGTACTAATATAATAAATAGATTGTCAACCGCAATTCCGTCCGCGCTGAATTAAAAAAAATAAAAAGTTGACTATGTGTTCTTCCAGACTATGTTCTACATCTATGCAAAATTTCAGCGAAATCCGTTAAGCCAGTCCAAAGATACCTTCAAAAATCCATCCATCCATCAATCTAAACATTCGCCTTTATAATATTAGTAAGATATTTTATTGATGATTCACTGCAAAACTTACGAAATGTTAACATATTTTAAGTTTTCAATATTACTTACTCTATTATTCGCAACTTCATTGGCGACATCTCCAATTGGGTTATCGCCATTTGTAGATTTTTCAATTGCTTCATGCCGTTTGTGATCCTCTTTCATCTTATTCAGCATCAATCTTTGCTTCTGAAGTAAAGCAGCTTGACGCAGCTTCTCCTGGCTCTTCAGATAACTGGAACAATTGCAAATATATAAACTGAACCACCACCAACAGAAGTAATCAAGAAATTGTTTCATGAGACCATTAATACAACGGACTATTATTTATTCCCTTGTGTAGTCCTTCTAATAGAAATAAGATATTGAAACGCCGATATAATTTTAATAATTACACGTGTAGTTATTCCACATCCAAAATAAATAAAAAAACATTTTTATAAATATGTTTCCTATAAATATCATCGAAACAAGATTGCTTGCGATGTTATTGGTGATTTTTTGATAGCTTTTTCATATTGGTTTTCTACGAAGAGCTAAAATAAAATGTACATTTTCATAGATTCTTGTTTTAGTTTAATTAGAATTCAACTAAAAAAAGACTACAGAAATATACAACATGATTAATCAAATATTTATTAAGCTATGAAATATATTTTTTACACACGACTTGGAGACACCAGAGGTATAGAAATTTAATTACATATAAACAGAAAATGCTATCGAACTTATTGCGTTCTAGTAATAAAATATTGTACCTTTAATTCCAAATAAAAGTTTTTAAACAAGCAAATATTGGTTAAAATAAACTAACATAATTACACTTTTAAAAATGATGTGGATACACGAGTTAATTACTTACATTTCGATGGGTATCGAAACTTTCAGTGACGGACGAGTTGACGGGCGCTTTCCACTTTCCTTCTTTTCAGACATTTTCAATGCAAACTTTCCTACAAATTAAATAACTATGTCAAAAACCTAATATGTAAATATTTAAAAATAATGAATTTATTCGGTGCATTTAAAAATCAGTCAATTACGATTTATTTTCATTTTAAAGTGAGGTTATTTGATTTATAAAAATTAGTTAAGTTAATTAAAGAAAACGATCGTAAACCAATACAGTAAAAAAAACTAAAGTACTATATTATTACTTTTTATTCACTTAACAACAAATCTCACTAAAGAGTTTAAAACAAATTAACTTTTAAAAAGCACTTTTAATATCACTGGCAATATTTAAAAAAAAAACGAACCGAAATAAATAAACAAAAGTAAACAAATCTCTGATGCGCTTGTAAACAATACAGCTGCCAAACCAACCTCGGAAGAGGCTCGGAGCTATGTTGTAAGCGCATGCAGGCAGCAGAGACTGAGTTGTTACCAGCCGTTAGGGCGGCGTAGCAGAGTAGCGGCGTAACGTCCGCCCGCCCTGCCATGCGCGTCTCCCTCGCGCCCAATGTAACGCTCTGTTTTATTGTCCTCTTGCATCAACACTACGTTTTACAATATTAGCAATTATATTAATATAAAAATTTGGTTTGATTTAAATTTATTTTATTAACTCGAATTCAAAACAATTTTTACACTTTTAAAAATTAAATTCTCCGCAATAATTGAATTTAATTTTGTCTTTTTTAAGCTTTTATTAAGTAGAATTAACTAAGTTGTCGGTTTTCATATAAAATATATATTTTTTTAACTTTACGAGAAATTTTAGTTTTAAAAATTTCCTATTACGCTGTCAAAAAAAAATCTGTAATTTGTAGTGTATAAATATATGTTTTATGAATACTATCAATTTAAAAGAAACGTCTTATTTTATCATTTACAGTGTAATTCGTTGAATAAGAATTTTGTCGCACCAGTAGCCATTTAAAATTCTTAGTAACTGTTATCAAACATTTCAACATAAGCTTTTGTGTCGTAATATATAAGTTTCACCAAAATTTTATTCTAACATTTTTACTAGAAAGACATTGCTCTTTGTTTTTTTCTTATACGTTTATATTATTTGTTGATTTGCCGTAGTTTACTTTTTTTTAAATATTAGGTGGCAGTAGAGTAAGCGGCGCCCGGAAATCACCAAAATAGTAATAGAGATGTCGTGAGGCAACCAAATAAAAAAAAATACAAACATAAAGATCAAGATTCAATATCGTGCGCTTATCGTTGTTTCTTAAAATTTCAAAGTTCTTAATTGCTAATCTATGTATTAACTGCTTATTTTGAATTTAAATAAAATCTGAGAACAAGATAAATCTGTATTGAGAAATCTTTCGAATATTATACGAAAAACACGGATTATTTAGCTAAATTTGGAATAAGAAGATTTTAATCTATTATGAGAATTTGTTATTTCTGTAATTAATAATAAGATTAAACATCTGCTATTAACTCAGATTAATTGGGAGATTAAGGAGAAGGGAAATTGTTGGAAAAAAAATGTGGATACTTTTTTACGTAATAAGACGATATAGCGTACAATAAACTGTTTATACCAGCGAGCTTCCCTATTTATCTAGCCTTTCCATCTGACCGTGGATTTCCACTATTATAGCACACTAGCGGACTCGACAGACGTTGTCCTGTCTACACGTCTTTAATTTGAATAAATTAATATGAAGTTAATATTTGATGAAAATTGTGAATTTAAACCATTCCCAGATCCCCTTGAACACACACAAAAAATTTCATCAAAATCGGTCCAGTCGTTTGAGAGAAGTTCAGTGACATACACACTTACAGAAGAATTATATATATATAGATATGCAACCTATACAACTCCACTACGGATGAGTTCATCAGGAAGGAACATTCCTCTCATCGGTGTAATTCCACCATACAAAAAACAGTCATAAAATTAAAGTAAATCCGCGTATTGTCTGATGAGTAAGTAGTGGAGTCGTAATTTTATTACTCTTTCCATCCATACCCCTTTACTTATGAAGGTCGGAAGTGATGGCAAGGATCACATAGAAAGGGGTGATATCCTCTTTCTTTGCGTCCCCTCCCCTGTCTACCAAGGGCAACGATTAGTTCGCTATTTTAGCGACCTATTTTCCATACCTTATGTATCAACTTTTTTTTGCTCAGTTTTTAACCAAAATGAGAATAAGGACAATGTGTTTTTTTAAACTTATTACGGTGGGAAAATTCACTCTAAAAATGGCAAAATGAACAGAAAAATCTCCCTTATCTCTATGATTTGCTTCTTCCATACTTACCATAGACTATTTAAAAAAAGGTTTTAATTTCATGTCATATTACGTAAATAAAACAAAATAAATTATTTAAACAGTTTTAATGTAAAAACAATTTGTAAAATTGCACTACCCCTTACTTACATATAAATGTAAAAAAAAAACATTATAAAAATAATTAATTTCTTCTTATCAAAATCACGCTTAATTGAGAAAAATATATTTTTAAAAAGATGCTTTATGCCAGTAATGCTTCTGTTTGCGAAGCTCTTATTCAAAAAAACTGATGAGTGAGCTTGTAAGGGCAAATCCCACCCAGGACAGATAACCTCAAAATGGTCATAGCTGAAGTGTTACTCCTATTAAGAGTTTTGGGGGTCTCCAGCATAGTGTAGGGCTAATAGAGGAAGGTCTGAGTAGACCAAAAGATATTTCGTATGGGCTTTCTTTCCAATTGCATGTCTCTTGAAGCATTTTTACTTCTGCGGGTTTTAGTCAATGTAAGTCTAATAAAACTTAATTCTCTTAACTCTTATAATAATACATTTTTTACTAATTTACCCAAATTAAAAAAAAAATTAATAGTATTTTTAAGTTAAATAAATTTCATCTTATTACACGTACAACATAACCTCAAAAAACAAAGTTAAAACTACCCACAATTTTTCATACAATTAATTCTTTGACCTTAGTTTCTTAAAAAATTCTGTTACAATTTCGAGGTTTTTTGTTCCTTCTGTACAATTTTATTCAAAATTACATGACCTTCATCGTAATGTGGGTTAAAATGTTGTCTAACTTTTACCCACCAGGTGGCTATATTAGGAAACTTGTCCTTCGCATCAAAACCTGCCATTCCTGAAACAATACAATATAAAAAACATTTTCAACAATCACATATCAAAGGAATTAGACTAGAACAGTATTAAAATGATGTACAAGTAACAAGATTCTACTACAGAGGTTCCCAAACTCTTTTCCCGTTGACTTCTTTCAAAATTTACCCACTTTCAGGGGAATTCCTAGAGCTACATTTATTCATCAAATTTTACACCTACTAACCCCCCCCCCCCCCCGCCCTCTTTTATTTTCCACTGGTGTCCAAGTGTCTTCGGGTCTTATTTAGGCAACTGCCTAACTTTGAGAATATGATGTAATAGATATTAGAACATTCGGGTGTTAAACAAATAGGCACTTACTAAAAGAAAATGTATAAAGTTTGATAAATAACCACTCAACATCAGATGGGACCTTGAACAAGCATTTTTATTATTCTAAAAGGTAGAAAAGACAAACTTACTTGGTTGTTCTAATTCACACGCTGCCCACAGATCTGCAACGGTAACAGTATTTCCAACAATAAAATCAGTGCCTCTGCCCAACCATTTTGTATTTAACAGTTCTAGTGCGGAAACCATTCGCTGCTCATATCCCTTTATCTGCTCTTCACTGGGTGTCCGTCCAAATAGAATGGGATCCATGTACTGAAAATATAAAAAAAAACAATACGCTAGTATTAAACATGTTCAATGTCATAACAACAAACAATGGAAAACATTGTGATGCAACCTGCACATATCTGAGAAGAAATTCAAAGCCAGTGTGGTTGACTACAGCCTAATCACCCTTAACTTAGGGTAGGCTCCGAGCCCCTCGGTGGGGACGTATAGTGAGCTGATAAGGATGATGATAAATTTCATAACAATATTAGTGTAATAAAGTCAGTTTGCAAGTTGTGCTAGTAGAGTTGTATCATTCGATGATTTCTTCAATTCAATATCTTGTATCTGATAGTACAACATAACTCATGCCCATTATCCAGAGCGGTAGGCAGAGAACACAGATCTCCATTTGGATGGACCTGACTTATCTCTCTCGCTTTTCACATATTACATTACTTGTGCATCTAAATAATAAAGTATTATTTATAAGATAAAATGTTTTACAATTGTTTACATATTTGGTCACTTTAAATGGTTACAAAAGAATTTTTGTTTAATGTAGATATAACAAATATACAAAATATATTTGATAAACATGGTTTTTTTATGCAGAGAGTTGAACAGATAAATAAGAAATTAGTAAGATTAAATGTGAATGGCTAAAAAGGTAGAGGATGGCCAAAGAAAGTATGGATGGATTGTGTGTAAGGAGATATGCATTAGAGATGGAAGAGTAGTACATACTGACGCTCCATAGGGACAAGGGCAGGTTGACAATAACACATTAGGTATTAAAGACATCAAGAAAGTTGTAATTACCTTAACTCTGAAGTACATAGCACAATGTAGTCTCAAACCAATATGCTGCCACTCCAGGTATTCTTGAACCAAAGCACAAGTCCTGCTATCTCTTGGGTACAGGGTCTCTGGTATAACACCTTCTCGAGATAAGTAGTTTATTATAGCGACACTAAAAATTATAACAGATATAATTAAAGACAGTTGTATTAATGTTACAATTGTTAATTTTATAAATTTAAATTACCATGGTTTGTATTTTATTTGTGTATATCCTAACCATTAACATTTTAGCTTATGATCATGCATTCCTAGGCATAGGCCTCAGGATTAGTGATGACTAATCATTTCCAAGACTGGCAGTGATATACTTATCCATTTCTCTCCAACAAATATGACTCAATCATCACTCCATCTTGTGGGAGGCCTATTGACAGTAATTCCTGTCCTTCTTCAAAACTTACCATGATGTTTAGGCCACAGAAAGTTGTATTGCAAAAACATACATATACATTTACTTTGGCCATGGCCATTGATATATTTATCTACTTTGCCAGATAATATTGACAATGATAGTCAAAATAAGCCAACCTTTCAGAGAGTAGAAATCCATTGTGATCAATCACAGGTACTTTTTGTAGTCGGTTAATTTTTGAATATTCCTCGGCATAATGTTCACCTAGAACACATTTTATACAGATATCAACAGTCATATAAATAACTTTACCTTTTTAATCTTGTTTACGAATAGTTATATGCCTTATCATAACATCGACATGAAAAATAGATTTAATAATTGTATATTTAATTAATTATTACATACTGATATTATTATATGTTGAGATTATATCACCAATCACAAACATATAAGGTCAAAGTACGAACGAAACTTTAAGATTATAGAAATTATGATATAGTAAAAATAATGATGATAAAAATATGTTTAAAAACAATAAAGTACAATTGACGATTAGTAACAAAACTGAAGGATTAAAACTATTATTCGGTTTATTAGCAAGAATTTCTAGAGTAGATTCAAAAGTTGGAAACTTATTGGATTTACCTTTGCGCAAATCCACATAATTCGCTTCAAAATTGCATTTAGAAGCTTTTAATAATATATACAGAGCCCTGGACGGTTGCGACATAAGATCGTAATACAACTTTAAAGTCATGTTATTTTAATATGTGTAGAGAAATAAAAAATAACAAAAATAAAACTTTTCAAACTTTCAAGTACAAGTTTGATTACTTTTTTGATAATTGATTAACAAGGTTATAGGTAGATACAGATTATATAGGCAATAAAGAAGCAAACAACCTATTTTAACCATAGACAAACTTTTTCTCAGTGTAATAAAAATATTGCTTTTAATATTGCCTTAAAATTTTTACACATTTTCATTTTTTTCTGATCTACAGTTTACTTTTTATATTGAACTATAGTTGAGTAAAGTAATTGATCGAAATCGATTGTAAAAGAATTGACAAACCGGTATGTATAAAGCACATCACTACTTATTATATTTTTGGATCGACGCTGCTATTATAAACTTTAATATAAATAATACTTTATTATAAATAGCATTAATTAATTGTATCATGGCTTCGGTGGAATTGTTAACCCCACATTTACCCAAGATCAAAATACCGGCTCCGCAGCAAATAGTTTACAAAGATGAATGTGTTTATTCATTTGACAATCCGGTGAGTTGCAAAATATATTATAACCTTTTACTTTTAATTTATATAATTACAGATGTACGAGCGTATATCTTATCAGTTCAATAATTCAAGTATTTGACTTCCTTAATCGTTATAAGGGAAAATAAAAGAAACCCTTGTTATTACTAATTTATTTCAAGTATATGTCAACTTTGTTCCTTCATCTTACACTAAAATAAATTGTTATAAACTGATGATAATAAACTATATATAAATGTCAGACAAGAATTTAAAAAAGATAAAAATACATAACCTCCATTTAAATAGGTACAATAGCATTTTCTTTAAAATATTTAGTGTTCATAAAATTCTTTACTGTTTGATATATGTTAGCTATTACATTAAGCAAGGAAGACCGCATGCCATCCATAGAATAAGAACAAAACATAAGTGATAGAAATGTATCAAACATTACCGGAGTCCAAAAAAGTATATTGTACAATAATTCTCTAGTCACATAAGTTTTCATGTTTGATTTTTTAACTTCCATAACATGTATTTTTGTTAAAATTATCATAGAAATAGTTATTGGTATGAAAAAGCTTATTATAACTAAAACAAAGACATAAAGAAGCATGTTCTTGCTATCAACATAACATATTTTCGTACAAATATCATTTATTTTCGGTCTGCGTAATGATCTTGACTCATTGGTGTAAAGAAAATCTGTTTGATTGTTATAACTGGCGAGAATATTAAAAACATTGTTCAAAATAGAATCAACCTTTTTGCTTTCATTTAAATTTCGTAGTCCATAATCATATACTTCCAAATATTGTGCGGGTATTGCATAATCTGTACCATTAAAATGTGTGTAGTTTGGACATTTTTCAGTTGCCAAATTTAACATAGTAATACAGGAATCGTCAACACTTCTTTCTTCACCGGTTCCCAATTTTGGCGTTGCTCCCATAGGATACATTAATAAAACAATCAAAATTGGAATAATCCACTGTATAGCTATTATTCCATATGAATAATATTTTTTCCATACATCAAATAGTGTACCGAAATTCATTTTTCTTCCATCTCTTGATTCGTCAGCAATAACTCTGACAATATTTTCATCGTCTTTTACTTTAATATCATGCAATAACTTATAATGCATATAATTATCTATAATGAGACTCAAAAAACTATTTACTAAAGACACTATTAATGGCCCGTAACTTATTAAAACCGAAAAGAAACCACACTGCAAAGTTGAACCTTCAATCTTCGTCTTTTTCATCTCTGCTGTTCGTACTTCCATATCTCTTGTTGTGATACTTTCTGAATTTAACTCGTATATTGATCTACTAATAAAAGCTATTCCAATACAAATTAGTAAAATATTCTCTGATAGTAATACTGATGAAATTGTTGTCTGACTTTTCTTTAATACTCTTCGTAAATTTAAAATACTCAAACCGAAACCACAGAGTATTAAGAATACACTGAGATATAAGTCCAAAGTATTGCCCATCGTGTCAAATCCAAGACTGCTTTCAAATGAATGTGCTTAAAGCCCCTATGTTTTCTGTGTGTAGATAGTGGTTATCACTTGACAAACTATAGGGGAACTTTTTACTTTGATAACATTGTAAATGTTATTTATTCTTTACATAATTCTTATTGGAAACTAAGTTTGTAAGAAATTTGTATTGTTCATTGAAATATTCCATGAAATAGTCTATAAAAAGTTTGTAGATTCAACACTCTCTGAGTTCTTAGCCAACTTCATGCCTTAAGAAAGATAGTTATGTATTGGCTCTTTCGTTCTAATATTTTTAAAGTTTGTACTTTGTCGTATCAGTTACATACGCCCGTATAACCCTGATAACGTAGTTTTTGCTTTAAAAATCAATAATTTAAATGAATATATTTCTTACAACTACATAGCATTTTTAAGCATATGTGTATTAACATATGTGTATGATTGTAGAAACAATAGTCTAATGAGTGTAACTTAATAGGACTAATAGGCTTATTTATATGCAACCATTTCCTATAACATGCATATTGTGAGTAAAAATTACACACAACATATTCACATTATACTAGCTGCCACCCGCGACTCTGCGTGGAATTAAAAAAAACTTATTAAAAAACTTGGGTGTTCTTCCAGACAGTGTTTTACATATGTGCAAAATTTCAGATAGATCCATGCAGCCATTCTTGAGATTCTTTCTAACAACAATCCATCCATCCAAACATTTATAATAATAGATGTTTCAAATGTGACTGTTACAGGAGTCAGAAACGGGTCTGTATGTTTCACTCACATCGTTCCTCGGCTTCGGACGTAACTACGTAGAACAGTACTTCCAGAAGACGGGCAATCCTGTATTCCTTCACATACAGAGGGAGAAGACACCCGTATGTGTACATTAATTTATCTTATGTCTTAGTTTTGTTTTGCAGTGATACAGTACTATCCAAACTTTATGTCAGTGACCCGAATACAGGGCACATCTTCGAAGACATGCGCACAAAACTAATCATCACCGTCATAAAGTTTGAATCTTGTAATACGATTAACTTATATGACAAACTCATGATGTTTTCCACGCGCTTTTGTTTTTAAATTCCCTTGTGACCTTGTGATGAGTGGAGTGTCATTCTATTTGTATTCTCCCCTTGAATGTCATAGTCTGTCCTGTTATTTGGTATAATTATCAACATGAATAAATCCTTAGAATAATATTACAGATCCCAGAACCAGAAGTGACTGGCGATGGACCGGAGAAAAAGATCACTCGTCTTGCTATTGGAGTGGAAGGAGGATTTGAACCTGATATCTGCAAGCCAAAGTACACTTACACTGACCACTATAACATTGTGGTGTTGCCCGGATTCTACACCTTCCCATGGCCAGATCCATCACTGCCTGAAGTGGTAAATATATCTATCTCTTTCTAACTCTCATATTTACTGTGTATCTGCGTTGTATCTATCTCGCTCATTATTAACTAGCAATTTATACGAATTTACTGGTAATTTCAATTAAAATTATATTTTTATATGGTTTAGAAAAATAGTGGAAAATACAACTTAAGCTTCCTATTCTTTGCAGATAAAAAAATCGGTCCAAGCAATTATAAATGCGGAATCACCATTCAAAATGGCGGAAATGGCCGCCTTACAGGGAACGTGGGATGGTGAGAGAAGAGAGGTATCTGTGTAAGTTGATCAATTGCTAAATTTAAAAAAAAATAGGAGTAAATATAGCCTATATCACTCACGGAGTATAGCTTCCGAGTAGTGATAGAATTTTTCAAACCAGCAAAAAAAAATGTTTTCTCTTTATAATATTAATATAGAAAAATCTAATTTTGTAGGCATGCAGTAAACTTGCAGCAGTTGGATAACAACGTGAAGATCCCACCTTCAGGGTGGAAGTGTGCCAAGTGTGAGCTCACCACCAACCTCTGGCTCAACCTTACTGATGGATCCATTCTCTGCGGTAGACGGTTCTTTGATGGCTCCGGTGGGAATGATCATGCGGTAAGAACCATCACCATTTGCTTGCCGGTGGCCTAGTTTTGGTCCTCTTTCCTTCCCTCCTTATTCTTATAGGAAAGGATGAAAACACAATATGGATTTGACGCAGAGAAAGAGCATATTTCCCCTTTCTATGCATCCTCCGTCCATCAAACGTAGGCAACGCCTCTATAATTTCTTCGAGCAGCGGTCACTTCGCTATTTTGGCGAATTAAGGTGGCCACCCGCTCGTTTGCCATCTTGGAATGTATTTTATTTTATTATGATATTAATATTAGAACTCGAACTGTTTTAAACATAACTGAAATTGTCCTAGGTGGAACATTATCGTGACACGGGTTTCCCATTGGCAGTCAAACTGGGTACCATCACCCCAGATGGGAAAGGTGATGTTTTCTCCTATGCCGAGGATGACATGGTTGAAGATCCGTTCCTCGCAGACCACCTGAAACATTTCGGCATCAATGTTCAACAGTTGCAAAAGGTTAGTACTAATAACACGTTGTTATTAGAAACGAATTTAAATGTTGTTAAAAGAATGATGTCCAGAGCCACTTATTCGATTGGACAGTTCACATCCATACAACATAGATATCTTCCATACAACTTTTGTGCGTACGTATGTTTTTATGTATGTCACTGATCTTTTTTTCCTGTGTAGACGGACAAATCCATGGTGGAATTGGAACTGGAGCTGAACCAGCGCACCGGGGAGTGGAACACGCTGCAGGAGTCTGGCAGCGAGCTGCGGCCGCTGCACGGGCCTGCGCTTACCGGCCTCAACAACCTCGGCAACACGTGTTACATCAACAGCGTCGTCCAGGTACACCACCCCCTTAACACAACTCACAATAATCACACACAATTACAGAGTATTAACAACACGGGTGTTTGCCATTGGGCCATTGGACTGACCGAAAAATTACGAGGCCTGAATCTCATTTAATTCAATCAATTCGACCCGAGTGCCAAAGTCCTATATGGATTTATCTTTTTGGTGCCAGTGGCCAATAGTCCAATGGGAATATTTTTTGCTTCTATGGACTAGATCGGCCCAATGGAAAAATATTTCAGTAGGTCGGTTCCGTTCGGGAAAAAGAGTCGATAGGTCATTCGGTCCAACGGGAAACACCCACAACACACAACACATTTTCAATAATCACTGCTGAGATCCTTCATGCACCTACTATATAATATTAGGAATATTTTATACAATATGACATAACCGGTTTTTTTTTTCTTGTATTAAAGGTAATGTTCAGAATGCCAGACTTCATCCGGAGATTTGTAGAAGGTGCGCCCGAAATATTTTCCACTTTCCCAGAAGATCCGGCGAATGATTTTAATGTTCAAACGTAAGTTTAATTTATAAAAGCATCCCTAGTAATGGAATAACCATATTGTCTTTTGTAAATACTTTTTTAACCGTTTCAGAGATTAGCGTGTAACTTTTAACTTTGTAGAGTTTTTTTAAACGTATGAACAGCTTATTTTCATTATATTATACTATCATACAAATAATATAAATGTGAATGTATGGAGGGATGGATGGATTTTTTTTAAAAGGTATCTTCAGAACTGCATGGATATTGCTGAAATTTGGCATAGATGTGAAACATGACCTGGAAGAACATATGATAATTATTTAGATTTTTTTTTAATTTCGCACAAGTCAAGTTGCGTGAGACAGCTAGTGTATATTAAAGTATTTATGTGAATTACAGCGCAAAGTTGGGCGTGGGCTTGGTATCTGGTCGGTACTCGTTCCCCGAGGTGGGAGGTGCGCAGCGCGGCGTCTCCCCGCACATGTACCGGCAGCTGGTCGGTCGCGGACATCCGGAGTTCATGAGCAAGAGACAACAGGATGCACACGAGTTTTATTTGCATCTGCTCACACTTATTGAGGTCAGTACCGACAACCTGGAGGTGGGCAATGCCTATTATTTCAAGTAACTATAGCATACTAGCTTTTGCCCACGACTTCGTCCAAGCAATTAAAAAGTGTCTCATGTCTTACTAAAGACTATGTTTTATATTTGAGTCAAATTTCGACAAGATATGTTCCCAGTGGAACCGTATACATTTCCGGAATTATAGGTCTACTAGCTATCGCCCGCGTATCCGTCCGCGTGGAATTAAAAAAAAACTTAGTAACCTATGTGTTCTTCCAGACCATGTTCTACATCTATGCCAAAGAAACATCCATCCATGCATCCATCTAAACATTCATTTATAATATTAGATGTGTAACCTAAATCTAAAGATATCTTCTCACAAATATCCATCCATCCATACATGTAAACATTTATTGCATTACTAATATTTATTTCCGTGTAGAGACACAGTCGTCACCGCGTGAACCCCGCGGAATGCCTGCGGTTCAGTGTGGAGGAGCGCGTGGCGTGCGGTGCGTCCGGCAGTGTGCGCTACACGCGCCGTGCTGAGCATCATCTGCCGCTCCCGGTACCGCTCTCCGCAGCCACCAATGCTCAACAAGTGCGAGACTACGAGCAACGACGTGCTGCAGCTGAGGCCAGCGGTCAGAGGCTGTGAGTAGCACCCAGAGCTACGTAGAGACAGCATCAGCTCACTATACATCCCCACTGAGACTCGGAGTCTACCTAAGTTAAGAATGACTGGGATATAGTCATATGTTAGAATTACTACCCAGATGTAGGTTGCATCACAATGTTTTTCTTCACCGTAACAATATGGGATAAATGTACATATGTATATCAAAAAATTCTTTGGTATACGACGGGATTCAAACCCAGGGCCTGGAGTAAGTCAAGTGCTTAACCCTTGAGCCAACTATCTCACTCCATTTATGTCTCCTATCTTCTTTAAGGGTCTTCCTATGTCTATTTACAGGAAATGATTAACGAAATACTGGATTTACAAAAAGAAATGCAAATTATTTTATGTCTTATTTATTTTCAGCGACCCGTCTCAAATAGTGCGACCTCACATCCCGTTCAGCGCGTGCCTGGACAGCTTCATGCGCGAGGAGACGCTCGAGCAGTTCTTCAGTACAGCTGTCAACGAGAAGGTCACCGCTCAGAAGTAAATACACTGTTATACACTAGCGATCGCCTGCCATGATGATATGCCAGATATTAGCTATCTACCCCTTAAAGTCCCGTCAAAATCGGTCCACACGTTCCGGAGATTATAAGGAACAAACACGGCTTTTCGCAGACAGACATACAGACTGATAATAAGCGAAAAGTTTTAAAAACTGATCTTTCGTTAGCAGCTATCCAAATGTACAAAATATTTTTTTCCGATATTATATATAGACGGAGCAATTTTATAACAATTTAAAATGTATTATATTTTATTTGTTATGTCAGGATAACTCGTCTGGCGACGTTCCCCGACTACCTGCTCATCCAGCTGAAGAAGTTCACCATAAAGGAGGACTGGACACCAGCCAAGCTGGACGTTGCCGTCGACATGCCTTGGGAGGTAGATTACCTTATAATTATTCTATTTTCTTATCAGCTATAAAGAAAACATAAAAAAAAATCTTTTCTAAAAAACAATAAAAACGATCAAATATATTTGACACACATTATAAATATGGACAAAACCGTATAACAAAGCCTAGTGTCATATAAATAAGTTTAGTATATATATTTTTTCTTTTTAGGTTGACCTAAGTTGTCTGCGTGGTCGTGGGCCGCAGCCCGAGGAGACCTTGTTGCCCGACTCCAGCCCACAGGCCCCAACACCGCAGTACGACGAGGCAGTTCTTGCTCAACTCGTAAGTTAACATGTACAATAATACTATAAACCCAAAAATCCATCTCAAACAATTTTTGTTGTGTAATTTTTATTAGCATCAAATTAAACCGAACTAAGAATATCGCTCGAATAGCCCGATCAATATGGCGACTCTACGTTCCCTCTTTTGCAGAGCAATTGATATAATTTTTGGAGCAACTTTACATAATATGATAAACTAGCTCTCGGCCGCGTTTCCGCCCGCGCAGAATTAATAAAAAAATCTTAATTAGTAGCCTATGTGCTCTTCCAGGCTATCTTCTACATCTATGTTAAACGTCAGCGAGATCTATGCAGCCGTTCTGAAGATACCTTCTTACAAATAACCATCCATCCATCTAAATATACGTATATACATTTTGACTTTAATATGATAAATATGTGATTGTATATGTGCAGCTGGACATGGGTTTCCCAGTGGAGGCGTGCAAGCGCGCGTTGTACTACACCGGTAACTCCGGCCTCGAGCCCGCATCCAACTGGCTCATGGAGCACCTCACAGACTGGGACTTCGCCAACAAGTTTGAACCACCCGGCTCACAACCCGCAGGTACATACAAACACATGCATGTCTCAAAAAGGTCTATTGAAAGGCTTTTAGTTGGTATAGACCTTATTTCTGTAGGTGTACATCTTTAAAGGCCTTTCCCCCTCTTAACTCTTTCAAATTCCTTTTTTATCTGTAATTTTTGAATGTTCAGGCACTCGGTATTGTATTTTTTTAATCCAATAAATAATTAGAAAGTAAAGGCAATTTAATAACTATGTGAATAAAGCTACAAAATTAAATAATCACTAACCCCATTAACATCCCTAATACTGCACAAGCCCTTTTTATTTGGAGTATAATAGTTTTCAGATATATCGATGGTTCTGGAATTCGCGCGAATCCCTGCGCAGTACGAAATTTTAGATGTAGCGGGATGTAGGGGAGGGTATTGATTAGCGTACATGATCTTGAGCCGTCTAAATATATGAAAATAGCTATACCATAAGTCAATGTGTTGTATCAGGTGGCGCTAGTGTGGCAGTGGACGAGTCGAGTGTGGCGAACATAATATCCATGGGATTCACGCGACCGCAAGCAGAGAAGGCGTTGCGGGCCACCGAGGGCGATGTCGGCCGTGCCCTCGACTGGATCTTCAGCCGAGCGGACCAGCTCGACGCCGAGGATGAAGCGCCTCCTAGGGAAGACCGCACGCTCGGCTGTAGAGACGGACCGGAGAGTAAGTTCTTTTTAATCATAGAATTAAACACATAAAAGTAACTAGCCAACTAAGCCATCAATAGGCATAATATTAATACGCCTTGTATTTTCTAAAAAAATGTTTCTTACAAGAACTGGGAAGTGGATAAAAAATGTCCATGAGTTTGTAATAGGTTCTAACTACACTTTACACGATTACTAAGAAACTAGAATCAATGTTTTTTTACGATGACGCATATGTTAAAAGTACATAGAAAAAAAAAAGTCTATATACAACGAATATAATGGCTAATTATATTATATACTGATTAATTAATTTAAATGTATATAACAACTGTAGTTGTCTATGTGAATGTCTTTGCAGAATACAAGCTGGTTGCGTTCATCTCACATATGGGCACTTCGACAATGGTGGGACATTACGTGTGCCACGTGCTGCACGAGGGACGCTGGGTCATATTCAACGATAACAAGGTACCAACACGTAATTTATGTTAGCCTCCTGTTCCACTGCAAGAAATCACTTATATAAACTCCTTGCTCACATCATTGAAATCTTATTTATGTTATAAATGCAAATGTTTCCATGTATGGATAAATCAATGTTTGCTAGAAGGTTCAATGGATCTAGATGAAGTTTGACATAAATGTAGAACATAATCTGGAAAACATAGGCAACTTATTAAGCATTTTTAATTTCACGAGGACGGAGGTTCGGGTAAAAAGTAGTTAGCTGCTCAAAATCAGCAGCGCAGTACCCTCACTCCTCTTCTCTTTATGTTCCGCTACACCAAAAATGATGTTCACGTAAGCGACTCGTGCGATGTTCCGGGCAGACAAGATATGTGACATTTCCATTTAGCTGGCAATTCTATCCTTTTATTAATTCTCTTATTCAATTTATGAATATTTCTTATGAATCTTTAGTTTAGATTATAAATGTAATTTCTTTTGCAGGTTGCTCTCTCAGAAAACCCACCAAAGGATATGGGTTACTTATATCTCTATGAACGGCTGTGATCTCAACCAAAAGCAATTGATCGGCATGTGTAAACTGTATGTTTGCACAGACATGTTGGACTACTGCCTAGGATAATGTTTAACATAATCTAAGACTTAATTATACCAGATAAAGTGTTCCAAACAAAGATTTAGTTAAAAAATTTGCTTCCAGTTTAGGATTATCATAAAGCTGTCATCGTAAGACCCATAATTTAGAATTTATGTTCGTTTCCGAGCATTAATATCATCAAAACAATTAACCAATAATGGGTAGGAAATAAATGTCCTCGACTATAAATTAACTCTATTTCTGTAGAAGTTTTTGTACAAGTCCTTTGGTAGTGGATTTTAATGATAAAAAAGTTTTAGGAAATTCTTCTTGAGATTTCTTGTTAACGCTTTATCTGTGTAGTCTTTGAAGTAGTCGAAATTTATTAAGTTAAAAAGCAAGAGTAATAAATTTGAGTAAGCATTTGTCTTAAGTAAGTTAATGTAATTAAGATACAATTGTTTTTTTTTATTTGAGCTAAAAATATATTTAAATTTGGAAGTGCAATTGTTTTACGTAGATGTTCTTTTTTCGTCATAGTTTTTACTCGTTGAATACAGTTAGTGCTTATTCAAAATAATGTATTCAAATGTATAGATATAAGCTTCTGGCAGAATATCATACTGACATGAACACCATTAGACAACGAAATAAATTATAATAAATATTGTTGTATATCATTTATGTGAAGAATTAAAAATAATGTGTAGCGACTACATTTAATTTCCGTTATTGTTGATTTACACTTTATTGATAAAATTATCGTTTAAATCTATCTGTGGGTTTGGGGATTCTCCACATGAATATTGTTTTCTCATCAAAGTATGTGTTGAACTTTTTGTACAATCTCCGTTTCTTGGGATCCTTTTGGCAGTTTGCTGGAGTGAGATTGATCATAAGACCTGTAACAAAAATGTGAATGTGTTACTACAAAATATGTTCAGTACCACCAACTTGACCGGTGAGTTAATTTTCATACAAAAAAAGTTGTATGGCCATAGAACATGAACTATGTCCATACACTAAAATTTAAAACGGGTGACATGTATACCACCTATAATTTTTAATTCATGTTAGGGCGAGAGAAACAAATCCAAAGAATTGAAACATTTATGATAACCTTCAACCCTTTTTAACACATAACAGCTAAAATTACCTGCTTTCTGGGCCATAGTTACTAGTTTACCAATCTTTTTCTGTTGTCGCTTGCAAAGCCCAGTAATACGTCGGGGTAACATACAGCCATCGGATCGTACAAACTGGCTTAGAATAAGTACATCGGTATGTTTCACATCTAGTCCCAACGAGCACATATAGCAGGGATTTTCTGCCGTTCCTTCACTTGGTTCAAATCCTGCTAAATCTTCAGCACGAACAAGCAAATTTGTCCGAGGTGAAGGCACAGTTACACCTTCCACTACTAGCGTTGAGCCCTCTGTACGTTCTCGCACTAAAAAAACGAAAAAGAACAACATTATTCAAGTTTGTGGAAACTTTAAGGTTATGATATAAAATAAAATATAATCAAATCTTACGTTCTTTCAAATTTAATTGTCTGGTTGTAGAAATAGATCGAATAGATGTGGACACAACCGCATTTTTAGCAAATGAAAAACCTGCGCGAACTAAAGAATTCATTTTACATAACTATAACAAATTATAAAATATCGAAAGTAATCAGGAATTTCCGAAATTCACTGAAATGTTCCCGTCAATGTCAAAGCAAATGTCAGAACGTTTCACAGAGTAATAAACTTTATATACTCTTTCAGAGTATACAGATAAAAAAATTGTTCAACTTTTGAGGTTTTTTTCTTTCTACTACTACTATTCTACATATTTTTTGCAAATAAATTACATTCGAACTCCTTGCAAGGACATAATGCAATTTTTTCCTGCGAGAAATACTAAGAAAAAGTGACTAAAATACATTTTTTTTGCTGCCTAAGTAGGAATACCTAGATTTAGTTGTGAAATTCTTTTATCGAAGGTTTTCGACCCCCAGCGATATTCTTAAACTGTTATGACTAAGGGTCCTTCAAGAAAAGAACGAACTGCACTCTAAAAGGCCAGCAATGTATTTGATGCTTTTCTGGTGTTGCGCATGTCCATGGCTCTCGTATCAAACCTCAGGCGGGCAGCGGTTCGTCTAATGTTTTCTTACTTTTAAAAAATAACATGTAAAAAATTAAAAAAAATCGGTTTAAGTATCACTAGTTCTAAATTCCTGTTTATTAATTAAAACAACAAAATGGATGGCAATGCATTTATTAAATAATAAAACTTAGACAGAATTTTTGAAAAATAGCTTTAGACGAAATAGCACAACATGCTTAAAACACAAAATTAACAATATTTGACACATACATGATTCATTTTTAAGCTATTAAAAGCTTATAATCGTATCACAAAATATGAAAATATGTACTTTTTAATCTGTATATAAACGGGTTTATTAACTTTTCATTACAAGAATAGAAATAAGGTAATACATATTATGAATAAAATAATTTTGCATTTTTTTTAACATGTATAAATAAAATATTTTTAATTGCCTGAGTATATAAAGGCAATTTTTACGGACGGTTTAAGCAAAGCATGTGATTGCAACAACGAAATGCAAGCCAAAATGCATTCGAAATGCAAAAAAGAACGTTTATCTTAAAATAACTTATACTATTTACAACTAGACGAGTACATATATAGAGATTTAAAAATAACTAAGCAAAATATATAATTTTAAAGCATTCTTTAAAATCATACACAAATCATAGCAGATTTTAATTTGTATTACTAAAAACTAAAAATTGTACCTGATATTGCATATTCATATAAGAAATGTGCAAAAATAATTAAATAAAATGAATGGGAAATCCAACAGATTTTAATATTTATAATTCAGTAATAACATGTAATTGTTTATTTTTATATAAATAACATATTTATATATTTATAATTTGTAATATAATCTTTTATTTTACAAATATGTTTTCAATAAAATACAATATAATAATATATTTACAAAACAGTCTGTCAGTTTCCCGGATGACTTTATGTTTTTATGAGACATTTAAAAGGGTTTTTATTTCATTTATGAGGTGTGATTATTTAGGGAAAGTAGCCAATCCCTTGCTGAGCAGGTTGGCAGCGCCTTGTGCGCCATCATTCGCCGCGGACGAAATGTTTGTTACCAGCTGGAAAAAACAAAAATTACATTTAATGTAAGTTTTAGTAAGTATTATAAAAAAGAAGATAACTGTGATAATATTATCTTTCTTTTCTTCTATCTATTTTGTGTTAGGAAGAAAATCCGACTCTGTGCCGATGTGCTGCGCAACACTAGCCTTACAAAAATGTCGACGTTTATGTCTCCTCACTAATCATTCTGACACTTGACTTTGTTACGAAAGCGCGCCATTCGCGCCAAAGGAAACTAATTATGTTTAAAGATAGATAACTACAATAATTACATATATTGTTGAAGATTTATCAGGAAACTAAAGATTTAAAGAGGTTTATAGACATCGAAAAGTGAAATTCGATCCCAAGACACGTTAGGACAGGTTATCCATTAACTATTATTAGCTAGAATAAGGGTATTAAAACTTCTAAAAAAGATCTGAAGTAATTGATATAATTACCGCATCTCGCTTCTCGCTGAGGAACTTGTCTGCGTCCTTGATCTTAGCGTCTACTACATTGCTGGCATTCTTGAGGCCCTGGTCGGCGGCGTCCTCCACGCGCTTCAGTGTGTTGTCAACAGTGCTGTGGACAGCATTGCTGGCGTCCGCCGCGGCTTTCTCTGCTGCCTTCTTAGATTCTTCCACTGCTGCATCTATTACCGTATTTATAAAATCATAAGCCTGAGTTCGTTTACACGTAAACGTAGTTCATCCCGTCGACTGTCACAAAACCTTTAATCAGGTTATTTTGTTTAAGGCCTGGCATACCTACGTACTGTTCATATGATTTTTTTAAATTACAGACCTATGTATGTTTTATTGTTATTATTCATACAAGGTAAATCAAGAATATCTTAGCTTTCTTGTGCCCAAATTGAAACCTGAATGTGGAGTTATGCAATTATCTCCATTTAGTATATTACAAAGATGTAAAGGAAATGAAAAATAATATCGTTTTGTTTTAATTCCTTTGGCATTCTTTTGTCTCACAGTCACCTTCTAAGACCTTCCTTCTTCAATATCATAATTGGCAGTAGTTTTTAAATTTGCTAATGATGAATGAATGAAATTGTTTACTCACTGGCGGCTCTCTTGGCTTCCTCCTTGGCGGCCTCGGCTGCCAGTCGCGCTTTCTCCTTGGCTTCTTCAGCGGCCTTCACAGCCTGCGCCTTAGCGTCTTCAGCTGCCTTCTTCGTCGTGTCAACAGTCGTATTGATGGTGTCTGCGAAAGAAACTTACATTTAAACAAATCAAAATAATAAATGGCTTGAACACCCTTTAAAAGCATAAGCAAACCTAAATTTATATTGTAAAAGTTTTTGATTTTATTAGGCATTAGGCCAAACTGTTCAAAGTTATGTTATGATCTTATTGCAACTTTTTTTTAACTTGTTGTTTAAAGGTTTGGTACATTTTAGGTAAATTAATGCCACACATTAGGCACTAAGTCAATTTTATGGTAAAACTCTCTAATTATCAAATTAGTCATTAAATAGCTGAAAATATCACAAAACACAGTTATTATTGTTAGCTTTCACTCTAATACCGGTTGTATCTTCGGCTAATTCATCCCATTCTGTTGGTACATCTTTGTCTGTAGCTCCAATTTTCGTTTTAAAAATGTCTATAAATCGTATAAATTTATTCAATAAATAAACAAATACCAAATAAAGCAACATACCTTGTAAATGAAGCGCGGGATTTTAGTAACACTGCATTCATTTGTTTCAGTTACTAAAGGAATTTAGTCTAACTAATAAGTATTAAAACTTAACCTCATGCAACCAGAAACAAGAAAAGAACAGCATAATACCACAAAAGCATTTAATAAATTAAAGTACGTAAGATTTTCACAAGCTGTTATAATTTTCGCATTTTGAACTTAGGATGAAATACCTTTAGCGCCTACTACGAAAGAGGATCCTTTGTCTACAACGGCACTAGCTACGCCCTTCGTCGTGTCTACTGTACTACTAACAGAGCTTGAGAATGTATCTACAATAATTAATACCAAATTAAAAAAAATAGACAAATTCGAAGGATGACAGTTATGCACGTACGTCTATAACAATTTATGGTCAAAATGAAATTTAAATATTATGAATTTTTATTTAAAATGAATCAAACAATTCTGGTACAGTCAGCTGTATAAATATGAAAGCATTTATAAAGCTGTAAACTCCTTTGGTTTCCGAAATTTGGATGCATTGATCCATCTGTATGCTTTCGATCATGATTACATGTTATTGACGAATTAATGCAAACGTATTTTTAAACCTAAGATGTATATAAGTTTCTAAATTATAGTAAATAGCTGTCGCTACAACTCCTTTAGCGCGGAATTAAAAAATCACACTTAATTGGTTATCTATGTGTTCTATGTTCGACATCTATTTCAAATTTCTGCGAGATCCGTGCAGCCGTTCTGGAGATACCTTGTTAAAAACATAAATCCATTTGTCCCAACGTTAATAATATTCCTAAGATGTATACATATTTATGCAGCTGACTGTACGTACACTAAAACGTTTAATAATACCTTTGGCACTTCCTAAAAATGCTGCACTTTTGTCTATTGCAGATGCAGCTGCATTTTTACTTGTATCAACTGTGTTCACTACCGTATCTACAAAATATAAAATATATACAGGGAAAATACTTCGTATATATAGATAATTAAATTCTACGCGCGTTACCTTTAGCAGAACTAACAAATTCTGCACTTTTATCTACTGCAGATGCAGCTACATTCTTAGTTGTATCTACTGTGTTACCAACGGTTTTTACTATTGCATCTACAAATTAAAGGCACAATCAAAATTTTATTCCTATAATACGTCAATTCAATTACTTCATATCGTTTTTTATTACCTTTAGCACTTCCTACATAGCCAACACCTTTGTCTACTGCTGATGCAGCAACATTTTTAGTCGTATCTACTGTGCTGGTAACAGTGTTAACTACTGTATCTACAAAAAAATGATAAAAGCATTTTGATATCTATGTATAAATTAAATGTTGCAATCAGAATAAATTACGAACATTCAATTTCATGATATTGAAGTAAAAACGTGTCCAATAAATATCGCTTTGGATAAACTATGTTCTTACTATACAACTTTTAATTAGTACTTCTAACAATACCTTTGGCACCACCAACAAAAGCTGCACTCTTTTCAGCAGCTGACGCAGCGACATTCTTAGTTGAATCTATTGTACTTCCAACTGTATTAACTACTGTATCTACAAAATAACTCATAATCTAAATATTACCCCGTAAATTGTCCATAACTCAAAAATAAATGGCTCTATCATTACCTTTAGCAGTTCCTACAAAACCAACACCTTTATCAACTGCTGAAGCAGCGACATTCTTGGTTGTATCTATTGTGCTTCCAACTGTGTTAACTACTGTATCTACAATAATAATAAAGGAATGAATAATCCGAATGCATTAAAATGCCCGCATTATGTATTTCTTGCAATGTTACCTTTGGCACTTCCAACGTAACCTACGCCTTTATCTACTGCTGAAGCAGCAAGGTTTTTGGTTGTATCTACAGTGCTGGTAACAGTGTTAACTAATGTATCTACAAAGAAAAAGATTTGATCGAAATAATGTATCTACAAGTCAATCGTTCAAATAATCTGTGACTTTTATATTACCTTTGGCACCACCAACAAAAGCTGCACTCTTTTCAGCAGCTGACGCAGCAACATTTTTAGACGTATCTATTGTGCTTCCAACTGTGTTAACTACTGTATCTACAAAATAACTCATAATCTAAATATTTTCCCATCAGTCCATACCTGAATACTAATTGGATCTATCATTACCTTTAGCAGTTCCTACAAAACCAACACCTTTATCAACTGCTGAAGCAGCGACATTCTTAGTTGAATCTACTGTGCTGGTAACCGTGTTAACTACTGTATCTACAAAAATAATCACAAAAGTTTTATGATATAAATATCTAAATGAACTGCACGTAGGACAAATTACGAACATAAAATTTCGTGTTATGGACGAAATTCTTCCGTATTTTTTACTTTATATCCTTCAATTAGTACTTCTAATATTACCTTTGGCACTTCCTACAATAGCTGCACCTTTATCAACTGCTGAAGCAGCGACATTTTTTGTTGTATCTACTGTGCTGGTAACCGTGTTAACTACTGTGTCTACAAAGAAATTATACAAGCATTGTATGATACCTATAGGTTTAAATTAACTGACGCACACAGGACAAATTACGAACATTCAATTTCATGTTATTGAAATAAATTCGTGTCCAATAAATATCGCTTTGGATAAACTATGTTCTTACTATATAACTTTTAATTAGTACTTAAATAATCACAGTGCATTTAACTGCACACTTTATGTAATTCTCTCAATATTACCTTTGGCACTTCCAACATAACCTACGCCTTTATCTACTGCAGATGCGGCTACGTTTTTTGTTGTGTCAACAGTTGTATATACCATGTCTACAAAGAAAAAAAAATGATCGAAATAATGGCTCTAAACGTCAATCTCTTAAATAATTGGCTACTTTATTACCTTTAGCACCACCAACTAAAGCTGCACCCTTTTCAGCAGCTGACGCAGCAACATTTTTAGTCGTATCTATTGTGCTTCCAACTGTATTAACTACTGTATCTACAAAATAACTCATAATCTAAATATTTTCCCATCAGTCCATACCTGAATACTATTTGGATCTATCATTACCTTTAGCAGTTCCTACAAAACCAACACCTTTATCAACTGCTGAAGCAGCGACATTCTTAGTTGAATCTACTGTGCTGGTAACCGTGTTAACTACTGTATCTACAAAAATAGTAATAAATGAATTAATCGTAGTGCATGCATCCACACACTTTCTGTGTCTCGATGTTACCTTTAGCACTTCCAACGTATCCTACACCTTTATCAACAGCTGAAGCAGCAACGTTTTTAGTTGTGTCCACTGTATTTGCTACAGTTTCTACAAAAGTAAAGTAAAAGTAAGAAGCAAAATAAAAGTAAGCAAAGCAAAACAATACTTATTTTTGTTAAAAAATCGTACCTTTAGCTGTTCCTACAAAAGCTGCGCCTTTTTCTACAGCAGATGCAGCTGCATTTTTAGTCGTATCTACTGTGCTACTAACAGCGTTAACTACTGTATCTACAAAAAACATAAACTTTACTCTTCCAGTCCAAATATAATCACTATTAAGTCTTAACACTTTCGCTGCGGTAAATATAATCATAAACCTACATCTGGTGCGACGCCGGGTCGAAATGCGCCTCTAACGATATTTTTACCAGTGCGTAGTAAGCGTCTCTTTCGACCCTCTAGCAAGGGTGTTAATTAAATCGCTATAACTTTGCGAAAACGTGATGTATACATATTTGTTTTTACTGTTAGAATAACCTAAACCCTAACTTTCTTCAGTGGCTCATAACCACGGGATCTGCCAAATAGAAAATGAGAAATAATTCAGGGAAAGCGATGTTTGCGTTTACTTGTCACTATCCACGGAGGTCATATTTTCTTTTGTGCCTTACCTTCTTGTCCGCAGAATTCTGTTTTAAGTTATTTTTATCATCTGAGAATAAGTTAAGACGAAGTTAATAAATGTAAGACCAGTTCTCGTGCTAACTTTTGCTTAAAACTTGTGCAAGTTTACATAGTGTGTTCATATTAGAATTGATTCCATAATAAACGGAATTCTCACCACAACTGAGGTAAGACTTCATTAATGACTTGATCTATCACTAGCTAAAATACCGCGGCAGGCCGAAGCGCCTGTTACCTTGTTGCAGTGAACGTGTTAAAATACCTTTAGCGTTTTCTACAACCGTTGAACGTTTATCCCCAGCAGTATTAAATGTACTTTGAACTGTTTCATTAAAATAGTAATTAAAAAATCAATCAAATAAAAACTTATTACAATGATTTTAGCAGTACCTTTAGCGCTTCCTACCAAAGCTGTATATCAAAGGTAAAATTTTTTTTTTAATGTACCCACTGTACTGAGTAAAGAGGAATTAATGAGAAAATGTATAGAAAAATAACGCGGTGTCTATATGAAAAAATATAACAACTGTGATAAAATTACGAACAAATTAGTGAATACACATTGTGATTAAAAAAAACAAGGACCTAGCATGAATATTTGTGACACGCGCCTTTGTAATGTCATAGACAAAATGTGTCAAAATTAGTATGTGATAAGTTAGTGTAGTTTACGCCCGGTAGGGGCGTTGCACAAATTTTAATACGTCGATGACGTTACGAAAACGTTCTCACGAATATTCGTAATAAGCACGTTGTGCTACATGATAGCTAATTTGTGTCAAATATGTATTTTTTTTTAATTGCACTTAAAAACCTTTTACCATTTTAATAGTCAGCTAGAATCAAAAAAATTAAAACTAAATATATATTCTATTATTTAATTCTTTAATTAATTTCCTAGTTAAAAAATTATAATTTTATACCTTTCGCAGCTCCCATATAAGAAATACTTGTGTCTACAGCAGTAGTGGCAGCTTTTTTGGTCGTGTCTACTGTACCGGCCACCGTATCTATCAATTGTATAAAACTTATGAACATTAAGAAAAAAAAACATCTATTCCATTTTTAATAATTTCGTTGCATTACCTTTGGCGGTGTCAACATAACTCTTGCCTGTTTCAACTACATTTTGTGCAGCATTTTTTGTCGTATCTATTGTACTTTGCACTGTATCTAAAAGATGATAAAATTTATAGAATTTAAAACGTATTTTATTTAAAAGATGCTGCAAATTAATGATTATAAAAATAATTATTAGCGTAAATATTACACGAAAACATATGTCAATAATAAACAAATACTATTTTTATCTAATCTTTATTAGTTTACAAATCTGATGACAAAGGTAACATTCCGTTACCTTTATCCGAGTCGTAAGCCCTTCCTATAATGATTATACTTTGTCCGTTAATTCTTAGTATTAAGAACATTTTTACTAAATTTAATTAACATTTTGATATATGTTTAGTTTTAAAATAAAGACCTTCTTAATTATAAACGAGTTGGAGCGTCGGTGGCTTAAGCAAGCACTTGACTTGCAATCTGCAGATCCTCGGTTCGAATCCCGCCATGTACCAATATGTTTTTCGATTCGATCCGAGGTTCTTACGGTAAAGGAAAAGACATCGTGATACAACCTGCACATATCTGAGAAGAAATTCAAAGATATGTGTTAAGTCAACCAACCCGCACTTGGCCAGCGTGGTTGGCTATGGCCTAGTCACTCGTAATTTAGGGTAGGCCCTGAGCCCCTCGGTGGGGACGTATTGTGATCTGATGATAAATAAGAAACAAACAAAAAAGCCAGTATTACCTTTCGCGGTGTCTAAATACGTCTTGTTAATGTCAAACATTGTTGTTACATAGTTCTTTGAAGCATCACGCGTATTATGTACAGATGTTTGCGATGATTCTAAAGCCATTAAAATAAACATAGATTTGATTATCAGTAAACTAGCTGTCGCCTATGCTTCCGTCCGCGCGGAATTAAAAAAAAACATTATAAATTGCTAATGTGTTCTTCCAGACTGTGTTCTATATTTATGCCAAATTTCATCGAGATCCGTTGAACCTTTTTGGAGATACTTTTAAACATCCATCCATCTAAACATTCGCATTTATATTAGTAAGATAGAACAAAAACAATCTGAACTATTAATTAACATTTAAAAATGATTGAAAAAAATGTTAATTTGGAATTGCTAAGACACAAATGTGTTTGTTATTTATGATAATAGAAACGCTACTTTAGACATAGAGAATATAAAATACCTTTAGTAGAATCTAAATAAGATTTAGATGTATCAACGGCAGAGTGAACTGCGCTTTTCGTTCCTTCAACAGTTGTGTTAACTGAATCAGCCACGGTGTCTAAATAAATAAAAATTAAACAGTATATAAAAAAAACTAAACAAAAAAAACTCCGCAATTGTATGTTCTATGAAGTTTTACTTATAAAATGTCAGTATTTCTTCTCATTTCAGATACTTCTTCTTGATAACTTTATCAATTTGATTTTTAAATACTTTTTAACACGTTCAATGCTACTAACTACGCTATAAACTTCTTGTACTAAAAATCTTATTTTTTTAGACATTATAAGTTAGGATCTTTTGGCGCGAATGGCGCGTTTTTGTTACTCAGTCAAATGTCAGATTGATTAGTGAGGGGACATAAACGTTGATATTTTAATAAGGCTAGTGTTGTACACCGGCACAATGTCAGATTTTCTTCCTAACAGTAAACGAATATTCGTGAGTTTTTAGACGTTTTCATATAAGTTTATTATAATGTCTCACGAAAGTTTAAAAATGTTATTTGAAATTTAGTCTTAAAGTTTACCTTTAGCAGTAGAAGCATATGCCTTCCCGGTATTAAGAGCGGATTGTGCTGTTTTCTGCGTTGTGTCAACAGTAGTGTTCAATGTGTTTGATACTTTATCTAAAACATTACATTATTTACGTAACTAATCTCCGACAACACCAAATCATACTAAACGTAAGCGACAGAGTGGTTGTAAAGGGGTGCCTACTGCGTTTCTTAAGGTCTATTATTGAAAGATTTCCCTCGAGACGAAAGAAAAAAGGCACCATAAATGTTAAAGCCGGCCCTGGATATATTTTATAAAAGTTATGGAAGAAAATGACCTTGACACTCAGACATAGAAACTAGAGGGGAGGAGGGACTAATATACGTGAGTGAGCCGTGTTTATATATCAGTTTAGTATAATGTCTCACGAAAGTTTGGATAGTTTAATATAGGGGAGGATATGCCTTTCCTATTATAATTAAGATTTAAAGTCTTATGTTTTTTATACCTTGTGCACTGGCCGCGTAAGATTTTCCAGTATCAAAAGCAGATTGTGCTGTTTTTTGTGTTGTATCAACAGCTGCATTTATATTGCTTGATACAGTATCTACAAATATATTCAAATCAAATTATGTTTCATTTTGAAGTTATCTTTAATTAAAATCAATCGTAATTTTACCTTTTGCACTTGTTGCATATAATTTACCAGTTTCAAATGCGGACAGTGCAGTTTTCTGTGTCGTATCCGCGGCACTAGATACAGTATTTGCTAAAGTATCTAAAATACAATTTTATTGCTATTAAAATAGAGTTCATTTTGGTTTATAAACATATCTGCTTTTGTATGTACCTTTTGCACTGGTTGCATACGTTTTTCCTGTCTCTAGAACTGATTGTGCAGCTTTTTGTGTCGTATCTACTGTACTACTGACAGTATTTGCTACAGAATCTATGACCAGAAGAAATTATTAAAATCTAGCTCATAAAAGTACCCTGTACTTGAGTTGGCACGTCACGCATATTACTATGCATATCCCTGACGTGCCAAGTCAAATGATAGGTTTCAAAAAAATAGTGTGTACCTTTCGCAGTGACGGCATATGATTTTCCAGTTTCAAATGCTGAATAAGCAGATTTTTGTGCTGTATCTACAGTGCTTTGTGCAACATTCGATACTGTATCTATAAAAATATACATAAATATACAATCACCTAGAAGCTGTAATATTCAATAGTTTGAAGAAAGAAAAAGATTATTAGTAAAGTAACCAATATACCAAAATTAGGATGTATAAAAGACAATGTATTACATTAGGAACATGCATTTGTAATTTCTTTTCTTACCTTTGGCACTTCCAGCATAACTTTTACTGGTGTCGATTGCAGATTGTGCTAAATTCTTAGTACCCTCAACCGTGTTACTAACAGTATCTATAGAAAATTAAAAAAGAAATAAACTAAAAGAAGAAAGAGAAAACTAAAATCTAAGTACGAGCACTCACCTTTAGTTGTGTTGTAAGCGGATTCAGCTGCTTTCTTCGTGTTGTCAACTGTGGTTGCGAGTGTGTCTAGAAATTGCAAAAAAAAATAAAGCAAACAAAAAAGAATCTTACTATAAATTTGTGCTAAAATAGATGTAAAAAAGCAACAACTATTATAGATAAAAAATTAAAAATTACACTAAAAAGTAGGTATTGCAGCAAAAAATCTAGATTTTATTGCTATCATAACTATTTAAAACTACCAAAAATAATACAATTTTTTTTTAAATCTTACGTCTTTTTATTCTTCACCAGTTTCAAAGTTAATAATGTTGATATTGGCAGTGTCTTCCTAAATTAAAAAGCAAAATATTTTTGTAGTCTTTACCTTTAGTTGTATCAATGACTTTCTTTCCATCAGCTACCGCCTTGTTGGCAGCGTCCACCGCTTCACCAGCTGCAAGGGACACCTTCGACAGCTCCTTGTCGAGAGCGTCAATCGCTGCGTTCTTGGTGTTAGACGCTGTGGTAATAAGTATTTTAATAATTACTCTTAAGTTTTCAGATTTAAAGAGGATAAAACACTCAGCTTTAGTAGTTGGTCTTTTAAGCAGTCTACTTTTATATCTTGTTAGGAAATAACTATTAAAATACAGATATGTTTTTTGATTTAGATGTTAAAATTAATCTTTATAATATTGTAAATGCGAATGTTTAGATGGATGATTGTTTGGAGGTATCTCCAGAACGGTTGAACGGATCTCGATGAAATGACATAGATATGGAACATAGTCTGGAAGAATACATTAAATTCGAAAAAAAAAAAGAATAAATAAAATCCTATGTCTCCTGGCTCTATAATAAGCTACATCTTCACCAATTTCCAGCCATATCGGCAAAGCCGTTCTTAAGTTATAAATAGTGTAATTAACACGACTTTCTTTTATATATAATAAATGATGAATGAACTGTCAATTTAAATTACTTTTTATTTAATAAATATAAAACCTTACCGAAATTTATTAGGTTACTGAAGAAAGACATTACGATTATACGGAAATTTAATTTTAAATACTGAACACGTATGTCTCACTGTTGGTAACAAAGATGTACTAAATTACAAAATATAGATAATCGAATTGATAAAATGACCTTGTGCGATAAACAAGTTTATTTACCCTGACCGTTGCGTGTTGTCATCCTGTTCAGAATTAATTATTATGAACGAAGGGGATAATTGTTTAGTGATTTTTTTTTATAATTATCTAACGATGTTTTACTTATAGAAGAAAATATTTACAAACCATTGCTAAATGTTTTGTACCTAAATAAAAATTAAATTGTAAAAAACATGTTTGTTGCCTATCGTCCAGTTAAAATAAGTACCTACTTAAGATCAATAAAATACGTTTCATAATCAAACTATAGTAAAAGTTGCACATTTTTAGGGTTTCGTACCTCATAGGAAAAAAAACGGAACCCTTATAGGATACTTTGTTGTCCGTCTGTCTGTCTGTCAAGACCCTTCTTTAATAGTTAAAACATAATTTGTCCCCGAGATTTCAAAAAATAAAATTTTGTCTACAAAGGCGGGGCATAAAGTGACGTAGAGTAGACTTTTAATGCAAATCAAAAAGTTTTGAACAGACCTGCGTCTGCCGCTTGGCTGGCATTCTGCTGAGCTCCGCCAATCATTTCTCCTGCCTTCTTGACTTGTTCCTCGACCACGTGGGCAGCCTCTTGCGCCTTCTCAGCTGCGATCTGCTCTGCATCCTTCTTCTTACGCTCGAACAGAGACGCCGTTTTCTCTCCGATGCTTCGGAAAGCGCCTATAATTTTAAAATAGCATTTAAATAAAGTACTAGGTTACGAATTACTATTTGGCACAGCCCTAATTAAAGTATGCTACGGTTGTACCAAATGGAAAGGAATAAATGCTTGGCAGTAATTAATAAAATTTCCATTTGGCATAGCCCTAACAATAGGATAGGGCTGTAGCAAAAAGATTCTTATTTAAGTCATTAACGGATTTTCATTGTAAGTATCAAAGCATGCTTTGCAACTTTGTACTTTTATGCATCGTCATTATACTATGGACAACCCTAACTGCTTCTTAATGCAACAGCGTTTCCTTGTATCCAAGTAACATATAGAATATGTCATTTGTTTCACATTTGCACATAAAATACAGACTATTAGTGTGATTGTTGGTCTGTAGCCATTACTGGATACGTGTTGAATACGGATCACATTGTAAACAGTTTGTAAGGTACTATCGTGGCACCTTGAACTGACAGTCATTTGAAAATTTCGCACGCATTGAGACGACGACATGAAAAATTAACAATAACAAGATATTGATTATTTACAAGAAGAGGCAAAATTTGTCTCGTTGCAAGGAACAAGGCCATTTTTTTACAAGTTGAACACCGCGAACGAACGTGACTATACATGTTACTGTCACTTAATCCTCACTAATCCTCCTAAAATAAGAGACACTCTTACTTAGCGGTTTGTTTAAGGTTATCAATTAGTGTACTTCACATTTATTTCTTACTTATAAGTAGATGTCTTTAAATAATTATAAATTATATCAAAAACGTAAAATATAAAAGACAGATATTTTTTTCGAGCAAGAATTCAATGTAATTCCATAAGAAATACGTCTCGCAAAATGAGTAACAGCCTGTATAAGGATAGGACAAGTACTCGATGACCTTTACTACCAACACCAGGTGGTTGTCTGGCTGGTATACTGGACGTATAACGTAAAAAGAAAAAAATAACATATATTCACATATTTTATTGAATACTTTTGCAGAAAAAAAATTACTGGCCACATTAAGATAATGCAAAAAAAATGTAAATTGGAATAATTTGTTTAGTAAATAATAATCAAGGATAATACTTTGAATATTTTTTTAAAATAAAAAGAACCAGAAGTAAGCTATTGCCATAAAAATATGCACATTCATAACCCACAGATGCATTGCCTTTAAGAAAGGTACGTTCGCTACTCAAACGACTGTTCCACAACGTTTAAGATGTAATTAAAAAAAAATTAAGTAACTAATTTATTTCTTTTATTTTGTTAATAGACTTAATGTCTACTATAAAATTATACATCATCTAAATTGAATTACAGAAGTGAATCCGTTATTAATATGTAAATGCGAAGTAAAAGCGATAACATTTAACGACCACTTTAACGTTAACGTACACGTTGGTGCCGCGGCGGCTGCAACTGTAAACAGTAATAAGGTCAGAGAATATTGTGGTTATTCGATGGACTCAAGTAATCTGGTGTGTAGGGTCCCCGCTGAAGTGAGGACGACTTCGACTATTACTTTGTAACAAAAAATTCAATCTATAGAAATTTTGAAAGATTTTGTTTGTTTTAAATAGACACAATTGAACTTAAACGAAAGCAGAAAGAATTAATAAATTGTGAAAATCTTTTTTTAATTATATTAATATACAAATACTAACATACTTCATCAAAAGTTTTAATTTCATTTTTAGTTACTACAAACTTTGTCATAGAAGTCGACTAAAAACGCCTACGAAATCAAAGATAGCAAATGTTTAATTAAAATAGTGTTTTTATATTTCAGTCAGGGTTTAGTGGAATAATTTATGTCATGTTATTGTAACAAATCTTGTAAGAGTTAGTGCGGTTGGACCTCGACTATCTTTCGTTACTCGGGTGTCCGGTCCCGTTGTTTGAACTGTTTGTTGGTTTACTTTAATATAAATAAACCGAAACATGTATACAAAAACTTTGTTATCTGTACCTTTTTGAAGGCAGATATGTTTTAATACATATGTTTGGTCAGTGGAAACTCAGGATTACATCATCCTTTAGTTCGTAGGCGACAGTAGTCTGTTTACGTAACTATATCCGCAGCGAGCTTTATTGATTTTCTTTTATCACGGCCCGGTCAAGGTGTTTCAATATGTAGCATACATATATAAACTAAAATATTCCTATGCTTTTACCGTCTTTTATGTCGGTTATATGACAACATATTTACGTATATTTTAAGCGAAAAAAGAAAGGTTGTGGATCAAATTATTAATATTTAAAAACAGGAGCTAAACTTTTTTCTTTCTTGTCTATTTGTTATTTATCCAGCGTTGGTTAATAGGTTAATTATTCCATTATTTACGTATTCCCGAAAATACATTAATATATGAGCAATGTCTAGACATAATATATATACATAAGTAATCCAGCGCAAATATTATTACATAAGGCAGGGCAATAACCGGCCTTATAGAGGCATGCCCACACCGCATTGTTCTAATTTCATAGTGGGTGTGTTCCGTTATGTTCCATAAATTGCGAATGTCGCCCTTTTGCATTGCGGTCATTTTTTTCTCTAGGGGTTCGACACTGTTATTGCTTCGACGGTAATATATAATACTAAAATTGGAATCATACAGAGAAGACACGGCCCCTGCGGAAAGATGACTTCACACATATCTTTGAATTTTTTCTCAGATATGTGCAGGTGGCATCACGATGTTTTCCTTCACCGTAAGAACGTCGGTTGATATTATTGGTAAAAAATAAATATAACGTCCAAATTTGTGATATTTTTGTGCTGTTGATGTATTATAACAAATTTGAGAAATTAAATACAAATGAACTCACCAAGGTTCTTGTCTATCGGACAGCATGGAAATACAAATAATTATATTAATAAATTTTTGATTTGATGATATAAATATATCTTCCATGCTTTACGTCAGGGGTCTCCAAATCATGGCCCATAGAACGATATTGTTAAACATTTTTTTAAAATATTTATACATGAACTTTGTTAGAAGACCCCTGTTATAGTCTACAATAAAAATGTCTAGGAATATTAATCAAAACGATGAAATTCTAATAGTGAACAAACTGTATCGAAAATGGGAGCTACATAAACTACACGTAATAAACTAAAGTGATTCGTAGTTTCAATGATATACTAGCTATTAAATTATTCAAACTTTCGTGAGACATTATAATAAACTGATATAAAAACGGCTAAACACTCACGTATATTCGTCCGGTGGCGGCACCGACTAGTTTCTCATCCTGATGAAGGGCCCCCGATGGGCTCGAAACTAGTCGGTGCCGCCACCGGACGAATATACGTGAGTGTTTAGCCGTTTTTAAATCAGTTTTGATATACTAGCTATTCGTGCAAATATATTACATTACAACTACAAGTATGTTATGTGTTAAATAAATAAAAAATATAATACACGCCATTTCGTAAACATTTATTTAAGCAGCCCTGTTTCCAGGGTTGCTACTGAAACGGTTTATTTTTTCACATACCTGGATGATTTTTTTTATGTTGGATTTAATAATTTATCTGCGACATACAGACTATATTGGTAGTGTTGAGTGATGTTACGGATCATTGGTCTGTCGGGATCGTTTCGTAACGCCTTGAGTGATTGTCGACCTAAATAGCTAAGAGAGCACTGGACTAAACCATTCGGAAGTGAGTGCCATTTGCTTGTATGTATGATTTATTCATTTTTTTTTCAATTATTTATGATAATACTGGCTGGTAACAAAATGCTAAGTTTCATGGAACCGGAGACCATGAAGGTCTACGATCTACTTTATATTCTTTCTTTAAAAAACTAAGAATATTTTTAATTTCTTGATAGACATCGACCACGATGGCTACTAAAACATCATTAAGTTATTTAAAAAAATTAAGAGTAGCAAATGCGCATACTAAGAAGTACTTACGTAATGTACTATGACATTAGTATACTAGTAATATAACGTTACCTACTACATACTACAGTAAAATTGATCCTTGTAGCAAATATTTGTTTTTCATGAATTATATTTTTAATATCACCAATCATGTCTTCCATCCATATTTACAATAAAATTGAATCTCAAATAGCCGTTTAAAATTCATTGGCACATCTCCACAACGAAAGTCAGTGTAGTTATTTACGCGTCTTAAAAATATCGCACACTGGCTGGCACAATGTTGCCAAAGATATATTTAAAAAAATATTATATTTACAGGGCAACACTAATAACCTTAAGATTTTTAGTACGACTAACCTACATTTCTTTTACAAAGAAATAAACCTCTTATTTGCAATAGATAAATTAGAAAACCATAAAACTGATATAATTTTTTTAACAGTAAGAAATCTTCTTTGAATACGCTATATTTTTAAGTTATAAATGTTCAAATTGCACGAGAGACGCCCGACACCATCAGCTGATTGCCTGTTAACTAAATTATCATAATTTTTGTACAAAACATATTGTTATCTCTGTTTCGTTAAATATAACGAGAGAGATGACAATATTTTATTTCAAGGGGGAAATAAAGTAATTTTGGTCTGAGAAAACAATGATTTGTCGATAAAACTTTGAAACATACTGTAGAGTATACAGCGTTAAATAAATTAGTTTACTAAGAATTCCACAAAGAAAAAACAATACGATAAAATTCCAACTGTCATTAATTTCACGTGAAATGCACATGAACATTGTTTAATTGGACGCGATGCCATTGTGATATCTATAGAAAAAGTTTCCAGTGAAATTAAAAATATAATTGTAGGAGTTTGTGCGAATGCTGTACACAATGTAAATTCGTTTACTTGTATTTGCTGGAAGTTTATCACGCTTACCATGAGTTTCCGAAACCAACATTGGAATGACGATATGTGAAAAAATATATCCGTATAAATACATAGATTTCGGTCTCAGAAAACAAAGGTTAGTGAGTTTACAAACTGACGTAATTTAAAATCGATCGGTGAAAGATATTAAGTACAATTATTGTCGTTT